GTTGTACCTAGCAAGACTACTGAATTAAGTCTAATTGGCTTTTCTTTCCACCATTTCATTTCCTTTGAAAAACATCAATGGTTAAATCAGGTATGTATCTGCTGTTCTCCTTTTCCTACCTTGTACTTTTTTTCTTATTAAAAAAATTCTAAAATATTTTAAGGGCTACTGAAAATAAAAACCTCTTAACTAGCCATACAACATACACATCTCACACTATCTCCTTAGAAGTCAAGTCCTATGCTAGGTGCTGGGGATACAAAGATGGACACGGTGATCCCTGTTCTTGAGGAGCTCTCCAGAAGGTGTCCTAAAAATGAGATTTCAGAACGACACATGAATACATATATACCGGGAACCTCTGACAACAGTAGAGTCTTTGGAAATAAAGCTTTCAATCTGAGAATGAAATGAGGAAGAGAGAGTTGGAAACTGCTTGACATTTAAGCAAGCCCATAACAATCCGTGCAGAGTCAAGAACTAAAGCATATTCTATGGGGGCGAAAAAAAAGGTACAATTCTCCCAGTATAACTCTTTAATCCAGTACTACTCAAAGTATTGTCCCACAGCCCAAACTGTTTATTACTCACCAGAGACCAATGAAGAACAGAAGGGTCCCAAGAAACTTTTGGGCCAATGTGACATTGCCACAACATCCAAACATGTTTAGTAGACTCATTATTGAACAGAGAAACAAAGTAAGGATACATAACAGCTTGAAACATTTAAAAGGAAATTAAAACAGAGAAAAAGCATTGGCTCTTCATGGCAAGTTTGAGAAGCTCAATTTTAAAATGCTCTGGGTAAAGATCTTTGGCTAACGCCAAAATTGAGTTTGGAATGAGATTTGATGGCTGCGGCTGGTTTACAGCTTAGCAGAGAAGCTCCAAATTCCAATGTCTATGAAAGTCTCTGCAAACAAGACATCAAAGAGCTCTTCTTACCAGGATGTCATCCTTGAAAGTATCTAAAGGACCACCTGGAAAATGGGACTCTGGATCCCCATGCCTGGGAGTAGGGGTAGAGGAGATGGAAACTCCAAGAAGTCTAGAAGACACCCCTCCTCCACTAGTTCTAGTGTGAGGCAGGACTGGGACAGGGCCGCCAATGACTGCGGGAGAAGAGGGATGGTGTGAAATGGCAGTGCTGAGGCCAGTCGGCAGGCTCGGCACAAGGGTCTCCCTTATGTAAGAAACCACAGCAGAGCACGAGCTGCCAGAGCAAAATAATGTGCCTCTGTGTGCGAGGGCTGGAGAGCACTGCAGAGCCTGGGCTGGCCTTGCAGTTTATCTAAGCCATGTACACACAGTCTGTTAATGAGCAATTGGTCCCCGAAGTGGCCCAAGGTTGATAAAAACCAGATGTGGGGAGCGCCAATCAAAGTGCCCCCCCAACCCCAGCCTGGATCACTATCTCACCAGGCCTCCTGAGCCTTCCCAGGACCCTCACCTTTAATGGATATTTGCAACCTAAAAATGCCACAACCTCCCAGTTGGCTTCTTTTGTGCTAATTAAATCAAAGGGTACAGAAAGCAGGAGAGTTTAAGAGAGGATGAGGGGTGAGGTGGGCCCTGTTTGGATTTATACAACCCAGTTTTGAGGAACCTTCAGTCCTTAAAGTATACAGATGTGTGTGTTCCCCTATAACCAGAGTCCCTGTGGCTATACATTTCAGAAAAGCAATGCAGCAACCTGAAAAACAGGCCCTTGGGAGCCCCAAGCAAACCTTGCTTCATTGCTCCATAGAGAAGACTCCATGGAGAAGCTGAAGCTGCAAAGAGACCAAGTCAGCTGGAGGTCTTGAAAAGGCAACCCAGGGTGACTCAGAAATCCCTCCTCAGAGCAGACTGCACCACAGGTCTCTCCATGCATGACAACCCCTAAGGAACAGAGAATCACGCTCCCAATTATGTGAACCCAAAGTCAAGCAACTTAGGGCATGGAGGCTTAGGCTCTTGCTCTTGGGAAGGAAATGCCATAGTTCCACTGTAGTTACCCTTTATTTGAAACCCCAAAGCAGCAGAAAAGAGGAAGGAGAAAAAGATGGCACTTTGATATGCTAATGTATTTGTAACAATATGCTTTGGGAGTTGCTCTGTGCCATGCTCCCTGCCATCTTAGTGTTCACAGCCTAGTGGAGCAGAGAGATGCAAAACACAATAATATGTGTGATGACAGTCACAATACAGTAGCAACTATCTTTCAGGGATGGAGGACTTGCTGATGAAGTTGAACTTTAGGGACAGGGAGGAATTAATGAACAAAATGCCTCTGAGGCAGGCTTCAGAGGTGCGGGCAGGCATGGTAGAGGAGCCTAAGTCCTGAGAAAGGCTAGTGCCACTGTCAAAACGGTATTAGTTATTAGGGGGAGAAACAGAATCTTGAGGCTTGAGCAGTAGAAAGGGCCACATCATGTGGAGCTTTTTAGACCTTGCTCAGGATTCGAGAATTTATCCTTCAAAACAACAGGAAGTTGGCCCTCTCTGGTAGCGCAGCAGGTTAAGGCACAACACTAAGAAGCTAAAGCCACTTCAGCATGAGTTCGATCCCCACCCGCTCTGGAGGTGCTCCATATGGCGCGGCAGACCACTCCTGACCCGCCTGCTGCTCCCCTCAGCAGTGTACTTCAGTCAGCCTGTTCTGCTCCCCACTCTGTCTCTGGTGAATCCTCACAGCCCCTGCACCTCTGGCCTGTACCCCAGTTCTGTTATGCATAAACAAATAAATCTTAAAACAAAACAAAACAAAACAAAACAAAAACAGGAAGTCACTGCAGCATTCTAAGTGGCAAACAGTCACGCTCAGGATTTTTTTTTTTTAAATAAAGGATCAAAGAAGTCCCCAGGATACTAAAGTTAAAGCTAAGACACAGGAGTAGAGGAATAGTTCATCTAGTCTGTATCTGGTGAACTTGTAAACAAGCTGGGATGCATTAGGAAGTCTCTGAACTGGAAGGGTCACTGCAGAAAGTGTGCACTTTCTGGCTTGCCGTCAGAGTGGTGGCCTGAGGGCCTACCGTCCTCACTGTTCCACATCCAGCAGCAGAGCTGCCATTTAGGAGCTGATACTCTGCAAGCCCTCAGGAGCCAGCAAGTCACAAGTGTGCCCCACTGTTTTAGGGAGGGTAACCTGGAGGCTGGTTTGGACTGGAAAACTGGGACCCAGCCACCATTTTGGGGATCGGCATCCATGTTCAAATGTGCAGCAGTGGCCTCCCCTGACCCGCACACCAGTCTTGTCATGTTCTAAATGCTTTAAGAAATTGCTGTTCAAACTCTACCTGGGGAAAGTGTTGCAGCCTCTGTGCAGTAGGGGTAGCAACTGGGTTCCCTGGGCTGCTCCTTCAGCCAGACTTAGAATAAAGAGGGTTTTCAAGGCCTGGAGTTTTCCAGCTGCCTGGAAACAGGAAGAGCCCAATCCCAGGGAACAGTAACCCTCACACACACCCTACATAAAGACATGTTGAGCCATTAGCCCTAATTGCCTGTGACTGACACGGGAGTGAAGCCGGCCTTCCAGGCATTTGCTCAGTGGAAAGAAAACAAACAGCTCACGGGGGACACAGCAGCCATTTTCCCTCCTTTCTGCCAAAACCATTCTGCTCTGTTCCCCCCAAATTACAGCATACAGATTTGAAATTATAAACCACACAAAGATCTTTCGAGTATTCCTTTACCACATATAAAAGAGAAAAGCAATCTCTGTAGGGAGGAGTTGAACAAAAGCGACTGTTATTAATCTTTTCACGAAGTCAAAAACTTCTCAGAGACTCCTTTCAATCCTCCCTGTTCTCTCCAGGTTTGAGGTGTAGAGGACTATTCACAATGCTTTTCATCTGTTCCTCAGACTTTATTGAGAAATATGAGTCAGGTAGAGTGCCATATACAAGGACACAAGATGTGTGTGACAAAAATTCATGTGACTTCAGTTTTTGGGTTTTTGTTTTAGCAAGTGGGTTTTTAAACATGGTTTAAGAACAGTACAGTATATTATGCATCAAACAGTCTTCCTTTTCTCTGTGTCAGTTAGGAGAGCTCAGAGGACTCACGCATCCACACCAGCACCAGCAACAGCACTAACATCATTTCCAGACCCCAAGGACTATGGCAACATGGACATTGGTTTCCTCAATACCAACGTGATCAACAGGATGGACAGCAAGACCACGGTGGGATCAGCCCTGATTATGCCTGGTAGTTGCCAAGATAAGAATTCATTTTCCAGTTCAGAACCTTCCCTTTCTTTCTGTCTATTCCACAACCACTTCAAAAATATTCACCAGGATTAACATCTGCCAAAAATAGCATTTAATACAACATCTTATTTTCTGGGGAAATATGAATGATTTTTATGTATACCTTACCGAGATCATAAGTCACTGAGCCAATGTCACCTGGGAGTAGTGTTGGGAATCAAAACTAGATCAACTTGATTCCCAGGTCCATGTTCCTAATCTCCACTCACTAGACAATGAAGCTGAACCTCCTCTTGGCTGACTGGGTTATCACCCAAGGTTTACGCCATCAGATTTAATTCTGAATTAGAAGGTGTCGAGAAAACTAGTAGCCCATGTTAACATTGCCTCAGCCACGTACAATAAGACTCAGAGCCTAGAGTCCTCCAGAGACCACTAACATAAAATTCAAGAGAGAAAAGCTATTTTCTAGGCAGGATCTAGGTGAACACCCTCCAACAGTTTCAAAAGGCAAAATGAGCTCCTTGTTCCATAAAAGCCATGCTCTTTGAATCGAGCTGTTCATTTCCAGTCACAGTATAAGGTAGCATTGATTCAGCTCACAGATGATTTAGATTCTTTTAAGATTTATGTAGAACAAGCAATTCTTCCATACCTCCCTCACTCCTGTGCATGGCAGCCTCCCAGAAACTACCAGCCACCAGATAATAAATAACCACGTTATTTCTGCCCTGGTGAAGGAGCCTCAGTCTTCGTGGGGGGCGTGCGAAGAGAGAGTACTGTTTTAGGACAGAGGCTACTCACCCAGAAGGCAGAGCATCAGGAGCCTGCACAGTTGCAGGGGGTTGCTGGGTGCCTGAAGTGCTGGGCACTTCTCCTTCAGCTGGCGTGGTCAGAGCAGGGAGAGAGGATATGGTGGGGTTTGGGGTCACACTTGTTGCTGCGGCAGGCGGGGACGTCACACCAACAACTGAGGGTTCTTCGGCATCAGTGACTGCAGTGGGATCATCATTCACTGAAAATACAGAAATCAGCTTAAAGATCAACTATGACTTATGTTGACATTCGCTAAATTTTTCCCTTAATGAAACAGCACAGTAGCTACAATGTTATCATGCATGCATCTGGTGACAGCTAAGTTTGATAAAATTTAACTGTGGGGGTTTACAGCAGTCAAAGAAAATTGGGAGGTGGGTCTGAAATAAGTATGTGAACTATTACCTCTTTTCTACAACTTTATTTCATTTTTTAACATACTATGCTTCCATAGTATTGTATATAATAAATTGCAATGAATTTCAGTAATGATGAAGATAACAGGGAAGTGTGTCTGTGTTAAAGGGAGCAAGGTCGTGTTTATGGTGTCATATGCATTTCTTTGAACACAACAGATGGCAATTCTATTTATGCAAATCTATAAATTTTACTCAATCTCAATAAAAAGTCCACTGTGGGCCCTCCCTGGTAGTGCAATGGGTTAAACTAAAGCTAGCCACAGCCATTTCAGCATGAGTTCAATCCCCAGACATGGAAGTGACCCACATGGTACAACAGACCTCTCCTGTCTAGCCTGCTGCCCCTTCAGCAGTATACTTTTTCAGTCTGCCTGCTCTACTCCCTACTCTGTCTCTGGTGTCTCTTCTCACCGCCCCTGAACCTCTGGCCTATACCCCAGTTCCATATGCATAAATAAATAAATCCTTTAAAAAATCCATTGTGACTTTTCTGAGAATGAAATAATTTACAAGAAACACTAAATACTTAAGAATAGCCATGAAAATTCTCAAGCCTAGTATTGTATGTATATCTAATTGGGGGTTACTTTTCTAAAATATGAAAACATATTATAAAGCTACAACAATAAAAACAGTATGGTACTGATAAATCAATAGCAGATCTAAAAAGCAAGGAAATTCAGAAACAGAATTAAGTAAGTATAGGAATTTAGTATATCACAAAGGTGACATTTTAAATAACTGTAGAAAAGAAAGTTTATTAAACAGTGCTGTAACAACAGAGCGTACTGGCTGGGGAAAGGTGATAAACTGAGTTATAGCCCTACCTCACTTCTTGTACCAAAATTAATTCCAGATGGGTCAGAAATTAAAGAGGAAGTAAAGAAGAATACAAAGGAGAGTATTTTTATAATGTCAAAGTAGAAGAGAGTTTTTCACACAAAAACTAGACATCATAAAAGATTTTAAAAGCTTTTCTACAAACCTTGTGCTAGACTCACTAAGAAAAGAGGGAACAATAATAAATAGAATCAAATACAAAAGAGAAGTTAAAACAGAACCTCAAAAATACAGATGATCATAAGAGACTGCTATAAATATCTTTATGAACAAATTGGGAAAACCTGGAAGAAATGGATAAATTTTTAGAAGCGTACCACTCAGTCTAGAAGAAATAGAAAACATGAACACAGCAATTACAAGTGAAGAAACTGAAATTGTAATCCAAAATAGCCCAGGATCAGATAGTTTTGCTAATGAGTCCTATCAAACCTTCAAAGAAGAACTAATACCTACCCTCAAACTACTCCAAAAAAATTGAGGAAGAGTGAATGCTCTCAATCACTACAATTCACCACATCAATAAACAGGAAGATAAAAAAAGACCATATCAATAGGTTCAGGAAAGGTACTTGACAAGATTCAGCATCCACTTAAGATAAAAACACTAAATAAGATGGGTATGGAAGGAACATATTTCAAAAAAGGCCATATAAGACAAACCCCCAGCTAACAACATATTCAATGATAAGAAACTGAAAGCTTTTTCTCTAAGATCAAGTAGACAACAAGGATATCTATTTTCACAACTGTTCAACACAGTATTAAAATTCTAGTTAAAGCAATTAGGTAAGAGAGAGGGATAAAAGGAATCCAAATGAAAAAACACTCAACATTACTTATCATCAAGGAAATGCAAATAAACTCACAATGAGCTAATATCTCACACTGGTGAGAATGACTCATTTCAAAAAACCCCAAAACAGCAAATATTGCTGAAGGTATAAAGAAAAGGAAACACTTGTTCACTGTTGGTGGGAATGTAGACTGGACTAGCTCCGATAGAATACAATGTGGATGTGCCTTAAAATATTAAAGAGGGTGGGCCCTCCCTGGTGGCGCAGTGGGTTAAAGCACAGCACTGAAAATCTGAAGCCACTTCCTCATGAGTTCGATTCCCGCCTGCCCCGGAGGTGACCACATGGCGTGGCAGACCTCTCCTGACCCGCCCGCTGCTCCCCTCTGCAGTATGCTTCGTCGATCTGCCTGTTCTGTTCCCCACTTTGTGTCTGGTGAAGCCTTTCACCGCCCCTGAGCCTCTGGCCTGTACCCCGTTCTGTATGCACAAATAAATAAATCTTTAAAAAAAAAAAATTAAAGAGGGCTTTCCCTGGTGGCACAATGGGTTGAAGAACCACATTATGAAGTTCTACAAAGCCAGTGCAGCACAAATTCGATCCCCAGCCAGGGAGCTGACCCACATGGCGTAGCAGACCTCTCCAGACCCACCCACTGATCCCCTCCCCTGGAGGGGATCATGTAAAGTGAAATCAGTCAGAAGAAGAAAGATAAATGCTGGATGACTTCACTTACATGTGGCATAGAGAGAAAAAATACAAAGGAACTGACAAAAATGAGCCAAACTAGATGCTGGAAATAACAACTGTAGAATTGTGGCTACCAGAGAGGGATGGTGGCTGAAAGTAGAAACAAAGTGGGAACGGGGTTCCTATGATCTAGAGTAAAGGAATATGGGTGCTTTGGTGGTAGGTATGGTGTGGACAAACACATTTAGGAATAAAGCATAAATAGCACTTTAAGCTAATGTTACCTCAAGACAGGGGAAAAAAAAACAAACCTGATTTAAATGGCAACAAAACAAAACAAAAAAAGCCAAAGGCAAAGTGAAAAGAAAAAATTAGCAAACTGGGAAAAACAATTAGTAACTCAAATTACAGACTAATAGCCAATTTCTTTAACATGAAAAGAAACACTACAAATCCATCAGGAAAAGACAAAAAACTTGAACAGATGGCTCCACAGTAAAAGACAAATTTCCCCTAAACATAATAAAGATGCTCAATCTCTTTGAGACTAGAAATGCAATTTAAGACTACAACAAAATACCATATTTTAACCTATCAGATTGGCAAGAGTGAAAATATTTCATTATACACTGAGAAGCATTTAAGAAAAACTGGCATTTTCACACATTGGTGGTAGGAGTAGAAATTGATAGCACCTCTAAGGAGAATAGCTGGGCAATGTGAAAATTTAAAAGCAATCACTGGCTTTATTTGGATTTCACCAGATTTGCCACTAATGTCCTTTTACCGTTCCAACATCCACTCCAGGATCTTGCATTGCATTTAGCAAGCTCACATTCATTAGCCCATTGATCCTCCCAATGGCCCCATAAAGAAGATATTATTCTTCCCATTTGACTGAAGATAAAACTAAGTCTCACAAAGGTAGCACTCAGAGGTGCTGTGAAACAGAACCAATACTCAATTCCAGATATCAGGTGGGGGGGAGGGGGGTCTGAGGATGGTTAGCTGGCTTTCCTGAGTGGGGAGAAAAGCTGCTATGAAGTTGGAAAGGTAAATGGGGAAAATGGCAGTTGAAGTAGCTGATTTCTGCATCAGTGGGTATTTCACAAGGTACTCCTGTGGTGTTGGTTAAACACTCTTACTTTATGAATCAGATATTCATTCAGGACTAAGACATACTCTACTCACAGTTAGCCAAAAAAAAAAAGTCAGGGATAGGAAATTCTTTTTCTTAATCCTAGACACGCTGCCAGCACACTGTGTGTTCCAAGATCTTTAGGTGTGTGTGGTGGGAAACAGACTGGAACACACACCCATCTTTCAGCCCCCACACTAGGCCTTGTAGAAGGTGATCACCAACAATGAAGCTTTTTGAAACTGAAGCTCGGTTTATAACAGGATCCACAGAAAAATAGTATCTCTCACCTGTGAACACGAGAAAAGCACTCCCAATGCAACCAACTGATCACTCAGCTTTTCAAGGAACCCTCCCAAATTAGAAAGATACTCTCTAGTTAGCATAGCATAAAGTGGGTGAGGTTTATATAAAGGAAAGCGATTATATTAAATGAGAAAAAAGAAGAAAAGCTTCTAGAGGGACAAAGTCACTAGACATTACCTGATGGGAAAATTAAACCCCTTCCCGGCCGATGTAAGCTTCACACAATTTTCATTTAAGTTCTGTCACACTGCTAAAAAATTTCTGAAATGTTTTGAAAACACAAACTATCAAAGAATATTATGCACAAAAAGCTGTAAGACAGGACTAGCGCTTCCAGACATTAGAAAAATATACCATAACACATCAATAATCAAAATCAAATGGGATTAGCTCAAAACTGTAAATCAATAAATGGAATGATGAAATATCCCAAAAATGAATTCTCACATAAGACTATAACGAGTGATAAACACTAAGTTAAAAACCACAGTGAAAAAATTATTTTATGTTTCTAGGGTAACAGGATTCTAAGATAGAAGGAAAAATTCACTTAGACCCTGATTCTCATTATATTTACAGGTGTTTATACATATAAACACACACCATTATAAGTCCCTTGAAAATAAAAGGAAACTGGAATGGAGTTTTACAATCCATCTGAAAAAAGAAAATCTATTCACTATCAAAGCAAAGGTAAAACTACACACTTTGTTTTTAATACTCAGACATCATTATTTTCTTTAACTCCTTTTCTACAAAAATAGGGGAAAACATAATCATCATAAATATCACAGATAAAACATGTACCTAGATCCCCACTAGGATGGCAAATATCATAAAAAAATAACAAATGTTAATGCTCACATCTGTATTACTTACAATACGTAGGACATGGATGCAGCCGAAACATCTAGAGAAAAACATTGTGTCAAAAAGATATGGTATAGTCATACCATAGAATATCATACAGCCATAAAAAGGGTGAAATGCAGAATTTGAGAATTATGTGCATTAATGTTATCAGAACAATAAAAACAAGTAGTGAATAATTTACACAGCAAAGAAAAGTTTTGATAACAAAACACTTTAAAAAAAACATGAATATACTTTGGTTAAGAGGAAAGGAGAGGGGAAGGGATAAAAGAGTGATAAAAGGTGATGGGAGGGAAACACAGCAAAATAAAAAGGCTGCCAATGACGTGGTAAAATTCAAGCCCTCGTTCACTGCTTGTGGGAATAGAAAACAGTACAGCTGCTCTGGAGAAACAGTTTGAGGGCCCCTTAAAAAGTTAAACAAGGGAGGGAAATGCACGGGACTATGTTGGTGGCACAGGGGTGATTTGGTGATGGGAAACCCGTGGGGATTACAATTGAGATGAAAAAAAAATGTGCAAAATGATGTAAAAATAAACTTTTTAATAAAAAAATGTAAAAAAAAAAGAAATAAAATATTTCATTTGGCAAAAAAAAAAAAAAAAAGTTAAACAAGGAATTACCATATAACCCATCATACCTCCACTCATAGGTATATACTCAAAAGAATTAGAAGTAAGGACTCAAACAGGTAGCTGCACACCCATGTTCATAGCAGCATTATTCACAAAAGCCTTTTGGTGGACATACCCACATGTCTATCAACAGACAAACAGATAAATACAATGTGTATACATGGGAAAAGGCTGACTCTGTATGTACGTTACATGGGAGAATCTTGAAAACATTATGCAAAGTGAAATAAATCAGAGACAAAGCACAAAACATTTCACTAATAACAGGAGGTTCCTGCTATAAAGTAGACTAGAGGTTACTAGGGGTTAGGGCTGGGGATGGAGAAGAGAATGTTATTGCTTAAATGGTAGTTTCAGTCTGGGATGATGAGAGAGCTGTGGAAATGGATAGTAGTGTAGCCGCTCAACTTTGTAAATTAACTTAATGCCATTGTATTATACACTTAAGGATGGCTTAAATTGTATTATATTATGCATTATTGTGTTAAATTATGATAGATATATTTTATCACAACTTGAACCAAAACTTGTTCCTAGAATACATGAACCTCTAAAATAAAACCTCTAAATCCCCAAGGAACAAGTAATCCAACACTATGAAATAAGCCACAATCAAGTAACTAATAACTGAAAAGATGCAATGAGGTTAAGTAATAAGGTGACACTTAGTACCTGTTAGTAAAATGAAAAACTAGTATCAACAAGGAAATAGCAGGAAAAATAAGCCTCATGTACCACTTAACAAAAAGCTTACATTGTTTTTGAACATACAATTAATTGCTCAGTCCTTCTGGAAAGGAATATGGTGACAAACGCCATTTTTAAAACTCATTGACTCAAGAATTTTATTTAAAAAAAGTTTTATTCAAAAAACAAAACTGAGGCTCTCCCTGGTGGCGCAGCAGGTTAAAGCACTGTACAAAGAAGCTTAAGCCACTTCCGCATGAGTTCGATTCCCGCCTGCCCCCGGAGGAGACCACATGGCGTGGCAGACCTCTCCTGACCCGCCCGCTGCTCCCCTCAGCAGTGTACTTCGTTGATCTGCCTGTTCTGCACCCCACTCTGTCTCTGGTGAATCCTCTCACCCTCCGCATTACTGGCCTGTACTCCAGTTCTGTATGAATAAATAAATAAGTCTTTAAAAAAAAAAAAAAACTGTATCCAAAGATGCTGACATTGGGTTTTTGTTTTACAACAGGGAAAATACACACAAGAATTGAGAAAGAATTAAATTAATTTTGGCATTATTAATTATCAAACAGATAAGGCCACTGAAAAGTAAATAAGAACATGATACACGGAAGTTGTGTAGAAAGTAGTAAAGTGAAAAAGAGGTCTGTGGTTTATGTGTTATAATCCACATAATTACGACACAATTATACTGCATGGCATTAATCATGAAAAATCAAAACTAGCCTTGAGAGCTCACTACGTCCCAGGCATTGTGCCAAGTGCACTACATGTTTTATATAATTCATCCCTCGTAACAATCCTATAAAATAAATACTCTTGTACTACAGTTTCATTAATGAGAAAACAAAAGCCCAGCAAGTCACTGGCCCTGTATCATACACAGAGGATCAGAGTCTGAGCACAGCCAATGTGAGTCCCAAACCTGTGAATGGAAATCATATTTAAGGGAGGAATGAGAGTCATAAGTTTTTGGGTAAGGTTTTCAATAAAAAATCAGAAAGTAAATCATTGCATGCCAGTCTCCACGAAGTGCTGTGCTGTTAGTCTAGTTCTCAATTCCACCACATCTAAAAGTTAGAAAAGTTATATTTATGCAGACAGGCTGCCATTCACTTTCATTTTATAAAAATGGATACTTTACAGTTGTGACAACATAAAAAAAAAAAAAAAAACACCTGGAACTTAGCTTCATTTTTAACCTAAATGTCTTTTTCACGCTAACTGCAGAGCACAGCCAAAAAAGGCTTGCTAAATTAATCTTATGCATCTGTGGAAACATTTTCTGGAGGCACAGCTCACTACTACCTCTGCCTTGGTCCTCACGATTCTACCAGCAGCTCATTAAGGATGGATATGTCTTCACTCACATCCTCAAGTCCCCTTCTAGTCTTGCTTCTGAAAAAGGGGGGCTCTGTCTACTACCCAAAAGAAATGTGAGATGTTTTTGCACCCCTGGATAGACAATGTAGAGTCAATGAAGAGGCTGTCAGTGAGGAGAAGTGAACAGGCAGCAGAGCAAAAGGAGACAGACAAGATGGAGGCCAATGCTTTAGTGTTTCAACAAGGAAAATCCCTCAAATACAAAAAAAAAAAAATCCCTCAACTGTAACTACTATCTTTCCCAAGTTGGGCTTTGGAAACAATGTGGGCATTTAGATACAACAATGGAAACATTTCTAAGGCAGTTTGGGGTTCGGGATATTCAGCTTTCTCAAGATATGGCCAGCACCTGCCTCATCTGCTGAAACATAAAGACCCTGGAGAGGACAACATGAAAAAGTGCCTAAAAATAAACACAGGGGAAACAGAGCATAGCAAATGTCCAAGACATTACCATGTAAAAGATATTACCATATAAAAGATATTACCATGTAAAAACAATTTACCAATAGGTCTTACAGGAAAGACAGAGATGGCTGACGGAAACTAGCATCACCATTACCATAGGCTCCTGAAGAAAAGTGGTCAGTGTGCGGCTACGGCCTCCAAGAAATTACTGTTCCCAAAGGCCTGTTCACCTTCCTATTTAAAAATGCTGTCTCCTCCCTCTATAAGGCCACCAATTTTTCTAAAACAAGTAGGTTCACTGGCACTCATGAGTTGCATATAGTTTTATGTCACACAGTCCATAACTACCACCTTGCTGTCACCTTCATACAGACTGGAAAAAACAGACACTTGGGATGTCACAATGCTTGGATATGTGGCTGGCATAAGTGTGCCAGGGGAGTGGAGATGGCAACCTCTCATCCACATCACCTCCCACTACTCCAAGTCCTCAAGGCTCAGGGAAAACTAGCTGACTCAGTCCCTTCAGACTGGTCCCAAACTCCAGGGAGAATGCTACCACACACACAGTGAGTCTGGCAGAGCACAAAAGATCCCTTGCTGTCATCATTGTCACAGACAATAGTATAATTAAACACCAGTGGGCCTCAAAGGGGCTCTGAAGCCCTCATTTGGTGCTTCCAGAACTAAAAGCCCAAATTGACTTCTCCCACTCAATATTTTTGTCACACAAAAGACAGTGGCAATGCTTCTGTGAATAGCTCTGCAGCTCTGGATTACTTGTCCTTCATGCCACAACTCTATGATCACCAGTAGCTACAAAATTATCTCACTATCACTTGACCAATTTAGACACCTCCATGTCCCATATACAGTTTATCATAGCAAACATCCACGTCCTCCCCAACAGCCCCAAACTAAGACAAATTGCCAAGTGATTAGCAGTCACTAGATTTTTGATAATCTTCAAGAAGTTTAGAAAAATCACCTTTTTCCTTTAAAAGTCGACACTGTCCCAATGAGACAGAAGGAAAGCATAAGATAAAGATAAAATGATAAAAACCAACTTGTTCTGAAATAGGACGTTAGCTGCATGCTGATGGGGAAGCAGAGCCAAGTGTCGCACTGATCCGTGTCGATGTGGGAGAGTATGTATGTCTCAGAGGGGACAGACATACTCCAGAGAACAACCGCAGCATGTGTCCTAGCTTTGCTCTAGTCAACATCCTAACCTGCTCACCAGTGCTGCCATCTACTCTAAACCAACTTCATTCTTAGCAACAATACTTAGTCTTCTTTCCCCAAACTTTGATATAAATGAAGAAAATAAAAGATTTGTCGGGTGTAACTAGTAACTGCTCCCAAAGAAAATTCAGTGTTAATAATAGATAAATAGAAAAATCTGTGTGAAGAGATATTTCAGCAGAGTGCAAAATGGTGAATGACCTTGGCTCTATAGAATATACCAGAGATAAAAGAACATGGACCCATGGAAAAATGGGTGTATACAAATTCATTTTAGTGTTGGGAGTCCTCTACATTCTAATATAACAAGTAAGGTCCTGACTCTAAATAAGAACAATTTAGAGGCCGCAGCATCAGTCCAGGCTGCCATTCTGGGCTGTCACTCACCTGTGCCATTGGCCAAGCCACTATGGCTTGGGTTCTTGATGGGCTGGCGATGCCGGTTGCTGGTACTTGGGCTTTGCTCGCTGCTTGCTGTGGTTGTTCTGGCTGAACCACCTGTATGCCTGTGCGTCCTAGGGGTTCAAAGTATAAAGCAGACTGATATAAAAAATTGAAAAAAATAAGACATAAATCCCACCTAAGTCACCATATTCCCTCACTATTTATTTGCAGTAAGATGTTCATTAGCCCCTCTAGTCTTTTACTCAATGGAAGCTGTTTCCACACAGAGAAATCCAGGTAAGCTTCCAGTCTGGTCAAAGCCCAAAAGGCAACTTTGTGCAAACTTTTCCATTTGAAGTAAACAAATTCAGAGTGAATTGCCCCACATCTGAAATAACTGGCAAAATATCCTGTGCCCATCACACTATTTTTATTGGGCTCAAATGTAAGAAATAAACAAGATCATTGGACAGGCTACAGATGAAATATTTCCCCTGTTAGGCAAAGAGAGCCCAAAAATTAATCCAAATCCCTTTCTCTAGGACTAAAAAGGTTCTTTCTCTGGGAAGAGAATACAAGTGGTTTAAGTCATCTTGGCCAATGCCTATATTAACATGTTTTACCTAGAAAAGATGACTGAAGGATTCATTCAACTAAATGAGGAATGGTACAAAAAGGGATGTAGATCAGAAACAAGGTGGTGGAATATAGCAGCAGAGAACCTAGCTGATATCTGTAGGTAATATGAGATTATAGGCGGTAGACCTTCTCAAGGTCCTTTCACTGCCTGACTTCATTCAGTGCAAATATCTAAGCCATCCTGCCTTTCAGTTCAGCTGTTTTATCAAAAAAGATCATTGTATTACTCAGTACTACTATTACTTTTCAATAATGATTTAAATGTTACCCAGTGAAGAATGATTATATCAACAGATACAGAGAAAACATTTCACTAGACACAGTACCACTTATGATAAAAAAAAAAATCTTAACTAAATGGAAATGGAGAGAATGTATCTGAACATAATAAAGGCTATATATCACAAATCTACATTCAACTGCAACTGAAGTAATGAAAAACTGCAAGCTTTTCCTTTAAGATCAGTAACAAGACAAGGGTGCCCACTACCACTATTTTTATTTAACTTAGTATTAGAGATTTTAGCTAGAACAATTTCATAAAAAGAAATAAAAGGAACTCAAATTTGAAAAGAAAGTATCATTATTTGCAGAAAATCTGATCATATATAAAAGACCCAAAGATTCTACCCCCCCACAAAAAAAACTTAGAAACAATAAAGTGACGAGCTATAAATACATGAAATTCTGTTGCATTTCTATATGCAAATAACATGAAGAAGATAAGTAATTATGAAAACAATCTCATTTACAATCACATCAAAAAGAATTAATGTCTAGGAATAAATTTAACAAGGAAGGTGAAAGATCTATGCAATTAAAAACTGTAAGACATTGTAAACACATAGAGTATGACAAAGAGATGGAGAGCTATCCTGTGTTCATGGATGTAGACCAGACTACCAAAAGTAATATATACAGTTGCAATGAAATCTCTATCAAAATTCCAATGGTATCTTTCAAGGAAAACAAAAGAACTCTAAAATGTATATATATGAAACCACACAAGACCCTAAACAGCTAAAGCAAGTTGGGAGAGGGGGGAGAAAATGAAGGCATCATGTTACTCAATTTCAAATTACATTATAAAGCAACAGTAATTAGAACAATCTGGTAAGCCTTCCCTGGTGGCCAACAGGTTAGGACGCAGCACTGCAAGCTAGCCGCAACCGCCGCAGTGTGTGTGCTTCAGTGAGAATTCCATCCCTAGCCCTGGAGGTGATCCACATGGCGCAGCAGACCTCTCCTGTCTGGCCCGCTGCTCCCTGCAGCAGTGTACTTTGTCGATCTGCCTGTTCTGCTCCCCACTCTGACTCTCGTGAATTCTCTCACCGCCTCTGCACCTCTGGCCTGTACCCCACTTCTGTATGCATAAATACATATATAAATAAATCTTTAAAAAATAAGAAGAATCTGGTAGTAGAATAAAAATATACAATGGAACAGAGTCAAGAACCCAGAAATAAATCCATACTTATACTGACACACTGTAACACCAGAACCAAGAACACACAATGGAGGAAGGAAAATCTCTTCAGCAAATGGTGTTGGGATCCTGAATAGCCACATGCACAAGAATGGAACTGGGTTACTCTCTAACTCCAACACAAAAGAAAATTCAAGTATAGCCAAGGATTTAGATACTGAGATGTATCACCTGACTGCAAGTAAGGGGAATACAAAGCAGAATTCAGGGCAGCAAACATCCAAATGGAGGATTCTCAGGTCAACCACACTCCCCATAGGGAATAAACAGATGACTGTACTATTCTCCTGGTGAGAGAGGCCTGTACCCCTCCTGTTCTTTGGAGAGTCTTTGGCCCTTTCTTTGGACTCTCCTAACTTTCCTGGAAAGTGTAGTCATTTGTCTGGTGTTTGCCAGGTTTAAGTAACTTATTCAAAAGCATTTCAGGGCTTTCCTAATTGTTTATTGCAAGGCAAGGTAAACTGATTATCAGTTTCACAGGCTTCCCAGAAATGTGACTATGTGCTGCAGACCAGACCCCAGGCAGACTAAGAACTCTTTCTATAGTTTCTCACCCCAGTCCTTAAATCAGGTAGCTTTCAGCCAGCCATACTAAATATTTACATATAAAGATACAAGCAACAATAATCCAAGTGAAAAGAAAAGCTCTGAGAAAGCATAAATAACAACAATTTGAAAAATGGGCAAAGCATACAAAGATAAGTCAGAGGGCAAAAATACAATAGCAAATATAAGTGTGATAAAAGCCACAATTTTTTAAAACCTAAATAAATGCTTTTCCAAACCAGAGAGAGAGATCTCCATTCAATACAATTCTAAAATTCTAGGGCACATACATGTTACCAGTCTCTACGTGATGCATTGGCCATATACACAGGTGAATTAGCAAGCCAGAAGGGCTTAACATGGGAGTTCAGAGGGTAGAGAAAGAAAGACGGGCAGACAGGCACCTTCTCCTGGCAGAGAAACAGAATTGTTCAGAGAACAATCTATAACATGACACCACATGATATAGGAGGTGATACTACCACATACAGCATCAGTAACAACACTGACTATGGAATTATATAAAATTCACTGGGCTGGATTATGTTCTAGGTATGATATGTTTTACTGTGTGTGTGTAATCTCATTTAATGTGGCAATACTGGAAGAAGCTTACTATTATTATGCCCATTTTACAGATAAGAATATACAGAACAGTACTGTGGAAAGTAAGCAGTAGAGCAAAGACTCAAATTCAGTGACACAGGATCAAGAGTCCATGGTCGCTAGGTGGAGGCTGGCAAACCTAGACTTAAGTTTAATTCCTCATAGATGATACTTCCACTGATCCGGGCCAATGGTGAGGTCATGGCCTCTAGTAGAAAGTTCTCATGCTGGGGGATTCCACCCCCACCCAAACATTTCTTCTAGCACAACACCCAGGTTCAGTATGTTAAGACAAATTTCAACACAACAATTCTAGGACACTCCTAGGTGACTGTTAAGTCTCTCCACAACTGACTTCTCCAGCACAAGAAATCTTTTTTTGACAAGATGGGCCATAGCCAAAATGTTAACAGTGATCTTCTTTGGGTGTTGGGAAAATGGATGCCTTTAGCATTTCCTGTTTTGCTTTTCCAGAAGTTTCTACTTCATTGAGTTTATACACATTTCAGTAAGAAAAAAAAAAACACAATTTTTCAAAATGAAATAAGATTATTATAGGGTCAAATTTACAAAAAGAAGAAGTGTACCAAGCCCTGATGTCTTTGGTATTATAATACTGCATGGCAGTTAAAAATGGAGAGAGAGACCAACTAGGCTGTGGAAATAAAGATTTAATTTGGACTCTCTTTTTCCATCTTATTTTTCCCTGAGCTAATTTCATAAATCAAAACCTGTTAACCACACCTCAGTCAAGAAAAATATCAAGTCCCCACTTCATGGGAAGAAACGTCAGTATTGAGCATTTTACCACAATTCCTCATCGAAAGCAGAACAAGTATAGACTCGTTCCAAAGAGAAAGTAGTCACGGATGTCTGTATATGTGTTGAGGGCAGAGAGTTTGAGAGACAAAAAAGGTTGATTTCAGCCAAGAATCCCCTTAAAAGGGAAAGAAAGTCTCTCTGATCGGGTACTCAGCCCATAGCAGAGGGCTGGATCCCTCAAGGAGCAGTAGCATATGTACAACACAGAAAATGCAGCATCTGTCCTGTCACCCACACAGATTCTAAGCAGCTGGGACAGTTTCCAGTCACCCAGGTTCCTTGTCCCTCTGCAGAGCAACTGGGCATGACAACAGGGTGGGTCACTTTATTCCCCAGGCTCCTCCTTCCCTTCCCCGAAAGGGCATGTGGTCAGAATTGAGAGGGAATACTTTCAGAAATGTTTAACCACTAATGATAGCAGCTCACCCTGAATAACAGGCTGGAGCTGAGCGGGAGTTAGCCAGTAAACCAGGGGCAGCTGGGACCACTTTGCATGAATTGCAGCCTCCCTGCCCATGGCCCACCGCCACCCCAGTATCTCCCACCACACGCACACATACACCATACACCCCACAATTCCTCCAGATTCACTCACATACATTACACACATACACTCTTTCCCTGGGTTCACACACACACATATACCCTGCCCTCTCCCCCCAGGTTCTCCCCTTGCCCCAAATCTGGAGTTCCCACTTTTTTCCTCTTGAATTACCTTTAAAATTAGGCTCTTAGAAGGAAGAAAAAGCCTCACCGTATGAGGGAAATCTTCTCTTCAGCAGTTTCCTCTCTTGGAGGACTCACTCAACCCTTAAAAGATGGGACTGTGTCGTGATTAAAAGCTGGCCTGGATGCTGAAACCACACACCATATGCCAAAATAGTATCAGTACAAAAGTGGGGGTGATGGGTGGAGAAGAGTTGGGCCCCACCACAGACAGCCCTGGCTTCAGCCCTGCTGATGACTTCAACCTTGGCCTGGTCCTGCCACCAATTGGGGAATTGAGGGGTAGGAGGCTGGGCGCAAGGGAAA